GAACGGTGGTGGATGCCCTAACTGATGCAACTTGGGCCCGGGACATCGGCCTGGACATGGACGAGCATGCGCTAGCACAGTTCCTTGGGCTTTGGCCCCGGGTGGAAAGCGTCGCACTATTGGAACACACGCCATACAAGTTGACGTGGTCATGGGAGAAGAACGGAGCCTTCTCGGCGCGATCGGCCTACGCGGCAGGATTTGCAACGCTTCAGGTCTCCCCCACGGCAGTTTTCACATGGTCATCGCATGCACCCCTGCGCTGTCGATTTTTCGCATGGCTGACCCTTCAAAATCGGGTGTGGACCTTGGATAGATTGGCGAGAAGAGGCCTCCCACATCAGGAACGCTGCCCGTTTTGCGACCAGGACGATGAAACACCTCCTCATTTGGTGTGTGTTTGCTAGAGAAACCTGGGATGCGGTCTGCCAGGCGACTGGCATCATTGACGAGGCCCCAACAGCAGCGGATGATCTTCTGGCCTGGACTACTAGACCTGCGTTGGGCGGGCGGCATGCCAAATCCTTGCATGCACTATATCTCCTGATCATGTGGGAATTGTGGAAACACAGGAATTCTATTGTGTTCGAGGGGAAGACATCGGACGTGCGGGCACTTTTGCGGAGGATCGCCGCTGAGTGCGCGGTGTGGATGAAGGCAGGGATCATTCATAGCGACTTAGAGCCCTGGATGGCTGGGATAGGTGTGTGAGCAGATAGGGAGTAGTCCACGTTTTTTCTTTTGTCTTGATGGGTGGAGTGCGATTGTGAATGTAACGCGAACTATGTAAACTGTGGATGGGGTTTCTTCACCCCTCTCCTTCTTCAATATATGATACGCACACTCGTGCATATTCGAAAAAAAATATTTGACAATATTTACTTGTTTAGGACAACAACATTGTGTCGACCGGTATCCTACTAAGGTCATGCTGACCTCTCATCACGTGCAGTGTTGCACGAGCAGATCACACATGAGTTGATTCGAAGGGCATCCGGCTAACGACGCTCCAGAAAAAACAAATCAGCGCTCCCGCGTCGTCCCCTGATGCTATTCGGGTG